AAACTAAAAAGCGATAATTGGTCATAGAAAAAAATAGTGCTTGCTGCTAGTTGTAAAATAAGAGTTGAAATTAAACGTGTATCATCTGGTGATTTTATCTAAGTTGACACCTGAGATTTTCGTATACTTAATTCCATGGTTTTCTAAAAAAAAAAATTCCACTCACAGCAGCCTTTCAATAACATCACTCGTATTATATCGTTTGTACGCAACGTCCAGATGACCATAGAACATGCATCTGCACGTTCTGGACTTGTATGTTTTCGCGTCGTTCCTTACCCCTTATTTGCTTATAGCATTTACCCAATAAGCCGCAATACCGAATCTGAATTACGTATGGAAAAAAAACCTCGATGATCTCTTTTGCTAAGTGGTGTATATTTTAGCTTATACGGAATTAGATAACGAGTCCATAGGTTGTTTTGCGCTAGCATGTTGTTTGGGTCTAGCAAGGGAGACAAAGTTTCGTGCTTTACCTAGGTAGACAAACAGAAACCCGTGAAATAAATGCCACAAGAACAGAATTGAACAGGCGTATGTTAAGGCAAACAATTACAATAAACAGTACGAGCCGCAGCGCAACACTTCGTATGATGCTTAAATTATAACATTTCGTAAGGAACAGAGCAAAGATGTTATCTGTTCGACAGTGCCACCTTTGAAAAATCCCTGCCACAGATTTGCACGTTAGCCGTACCCGGAATAATACACCTGTCACTGTTTGGATGTGTCGCGCTCGATGTGAACCCGTGGCCGACTTAGATGCGTCAGAACGTTTAAATGCGCCTCAAGGTACCAAATGTCCAAAAGGTACCAAAGGCTACAATGGGCAAAAGTTGACCGCCATTTCTTTTATTACAATTTCATTCATACAGTAACTACAGATATCAGCTTCATATTATCAGGTATGGTTTCGCGTATTCCACTTTTGCAGTGTGTCATCGAAAGTTTCTTGTATTGAATGCTGGGCCGCTGTTTCGATTAAGTTAAGGAAGTTCCTTTTTTTTTTTTGAGTCGGTATCTTAATTACGACTCGAGTTGCTTGCGCTTATTGTTATGGCTTTTCATCACCTCGTTAATAATAAGATCCGCTCTTGTTATCGTTCATTGTACAGTGTATTACAAATCACGGGGTTCCAGTTTATTATAATTCTGAACCATACCTGTGACTGTTTACACAACGTTTAGCACTTTGGTTTTGTCTACTTTCTTCACGATTGGCTCGCTTTGGGCCGTCATATTCCGTTTTTACTAAGTAAATTCATTGAAGTGGCAATTTTAGTACATTTTCCATCAACATCGTCTCGGTTCGCAGCCATCTGCGGTAACAGCTGAACGCCAATGAACAACAAATGGGCGTCGTTTTTTAGTTGGTTTTCTATTTCGTATGAAATAAAGTGACGCGCCATCTTTCCTCCGCTGTTGGTGTGCGCTACATCGTAAAAATACGAAATAAGATACACAACGGAAGATGTGTTAATGTGCTATGAAGACAATGACCGCAGCGAGGGCAGTCCTATTTTTATTTTCTCGTTGGGGTTGTATATATTTTTCTAAAGATTAAAGCTGAACCGTAACTAAAGTTGCGGATTCCCTTGTTTATATGGCTGTTGATAGGCCTGTTGCTTTGCGAGTACTTGTCCGTTAATTTTGTTCAATTATTGTTCGCTGGCAGCATGCAACGTACTGTCCTGCACGACGCTAGTAAACTGTGGCAGGTCTGCGACGTGCACGAACAGCGGCAGTAAATGGCCACCGCAGGCTATAGGAAGGTTTCTTTGTTTCATTTCTTTCCGTTGTATTCCATTCATTCGGCCGCAACTGTTACTAAGAAAACTTAGAAAGGGGAACGTGGAGAAGCTGAAGATTAAATAGGCCCAAAAAGTAAAGCGGCCATAATCATACGTACATGTAAGGACATGTCGACAGCTACAGTTCGTAGAATGTGTCGCTTTGCTCAACTCTTGTGCCTATACGATAAAGAAAAGCTTTTCTTGCGCAATCGACTTGTAGTCATACTTGTCCTTAGAGGCTATACGTAGTAATACAACGTCTAGTTGTTCAGCCACTGACGATTGCCTCTTCTGTGGCATCGGCTACGAAAGTGTAACCGCGCGTCAATAGCACTACTATCACTGCGGTAGCTATGACGCTTCCAAATACGCATCTCTTTCGAAGCGTTTCTTGGGATGTGATCCCAGACAGTACTGCTATTGTTATTTTCACATTGGGTTCTCTTCTTCTTGGCTGAATTTTTTAGGGCAAGCAAAATGGTGAGAAGCCTCGTCATTGTTGCTGGCTGTTCGGATGTCGTCGTATCAATGTTGGTAATACAATTAGTTTTGCCAGATTTCTGGCCGGCGGTGTTCCGCTGCGTAGATCGATAACAAGAGCAGCAATGTTAGAACGGGTAGCCTGAACCGATCATGGAGCGCTTTGCAAAACTCGGGGTGAATAAAGCAAAATAAATACCCCAAGACATTCTTAAGCCGAATTAGATTCGGGGGTTACGACTAAGAGTTTAGTGGCTTTTATTGTGTGCACTTACCTTACTCTCGATAGCAGTAAATCGACGCCTTGTTCACTAGAAGCATCGTTACCGACAGTGGGACGCGGGAACGGGTAACAGCACCGACATCATGAAGTGCCGATGTCCAACCGTAAGGGCAGTTTCTTGTGTTTGACAGTATGTACTTACTATTATATAAAACTGTACGGTGAAGAATGTCTTACGAAGGCACACACATAGAAAAGAGTTCAGAGTAGCTACGATTATCTACAGATCGCTTTAAGTCACTCCATCTGACGGAACCGACAAATTACGAACTTACACGAGAAAACTCATTCGTAACCTGTTCAGCTAGTGAAGTAGATTCACCGCTGCTTAACGAGATTTATCTGACGATGAAATAATTACTGCATTGCATTATTAGGAGAAGATCCGGAGATTTGTTTCTTGGCTTGTCTCTCCCACTACCGAAAACAGAAGCTTACGTAGAGATGGACAGGTAACAGCTATTACGGGACTATTCAAATCTCCATTAATAGGCAACAACAGAAACAGGTGTAGCACGTGCTAACAGCGACAGTAACCACAATAAAAACAAGATGACGTGAAGATTGCATCACGCGCAGAATATAAATAGCAGCACTGCCGAACATCGGCGTTTTGCCGTATGACGACGGATAACGGGATGCTGTTTATGATGGGTAAGGGCAGAAGACATATAAAATTATTTGTTATGTTGCTGCCACTGATCTGCCCGGAACAGCTGTTCGATCGACCCTGCTGTTGGAAGAGTCGGCTGATTTAACGAGTCAATTTGAAAAACTAGATTCTAGTTAGCCATATATCCGATTTTATAATAGTATCGGGTGAAGCCAGCATTGTCGTGACCCGTTTTTGGCAATAACTTCCCAAAAAGGATGAAACAGAAGTTGACCGACATATCTATAAACCCATTGTTTCCTATAATGAATCACTTACGCGACCACTGGGTTGGTCACTTGTCGTCAAATTGGGTTTCTGGGATACTGGGCACGTGCAGACTAGGTAAGCTAGACACAAAAAATGCATGCTCTATATATACGGTATGACAGTATATAAATTATCATTATTACCGAAAATCAACTATTTACAGCCACTGTCTATCGGCGTTTCCAGTTCCGCGGTAGTTTTTGGTTGAATTCAATTCCTTGATCGAACGCAAAAAATAACCATGGTCGTACCAGCTGTAGCTGATATTCTCTTGTCGTACGCAAAGCACGGAGAAGTGGAAAAAATCGCATAAACACCTAAAATCCACCAAGTTTCCTTCGCCGGCGCCCGGTTAAGCCTCGCCGCGTCCTAACGAGGCAGCGCAACGGACCCTTATCTCATCAGTGTCAATAGCCTATACACTAGTTTGCCTTTATTGACGAGAGAAACAATATTATTGGCACTAGTAATCGGTGTTAGTTTCTTGAATAGCCTCGTTTTGTTAGATATTGCGTACTTTATTTTTACTAGCGCCAAAGTATTATATTTGATAGTTTTTTTCCCTTTCGAAAGCTGCTTCAACAGACGACTCTATACGAAGACGTAAATATTTCTTAGGAAAATCAGTGAGCAAATCAGTTGGCTGTAAGCCACGCTTGGCTGTTGTACTTTTGTGGATGTGACTACTGCCGTTTCTTTCAGCATTACGGTAGACGGGCACTACGAAAACGCGGAAAAACACCAGATTTATTTGGTGGTCCCTTGTTAAAAACACTCTGCCATTGCAACTAGAACTATTTAGGCTGGTCATCCAATGTAGTGCTAGCAAAAGTGATAATACGATTAATTCGAATGGTGCGCTGTTTAACTGTAGGAGTTCTTTGAGGGTTTCATTAGCTGAGACCGTAATACTTGAACGTGAGTACTTACGTGAGATTTTTCATCACTAAAAATCAGAAGAAAGGCGTTCGGGCGCCTCAAATGCTCGTTGTAGCTGTTAACCTATAGTCGCTTGATTGATGCGAACGCTGAATTTCTTTTCAGCTTGATGCATACTGCCCATATTACTGTCTTCGGAAAAATTCGTTTAAATAAATTATGATTTAACCTAAAAAAATAATAGATATATAATGAATCGGTTTTGCTTTCCTATTGTCTGTGCCCCACACACGCCTTCATATTGTACACAACAACGGCTAAAAGTTATTACTGTTACAATGCCATTAAGAAACGCTCGAATCGAAAA